CTTTCTCTCTGTCTCCAACTAGCAGAGGAGATGCAAACTCTCAGCTACTGCTCCTGCACCATGCTTCACTGCCTGCTGTCATGCTCCCTGCCATGATGACCACGGGCTCTACCATCCTAGAACCAGGATTAGTTGCTTTCACTTATGAATTGCCTTGGTCATGGTGTTTTGTCATGGCATCTGAGAAGTAACTCAGCCACAAGTGGAAGACTCCTAAGCCAATCCTGTTCCTCCCATCACCTCCTGTAAGCGGAAAGTCTAGTCTGTTCCACCATGTTTGCAGCATAAATCCTGGTACCCTGAAGCCACATGGAGACTTTCTGTGTTTCTCAAGAGGTCAACAGAAGGTCGATAGCCTTCTTACTCAGAATAGTACTATCCCTCAAGTCTTCAAATTCTCTAGAGAGCACAGATAATTTGAAGATAGGCAAAGTCTGAGGATGAAGTAAAGAAGCTAGAATTATGCCTCCTTATTTCAGCTATGGCCTGTACAGTCTTTCATCCTCTTGCCCTAGAAAGAATATGCAACCCATCTCAACAATCTCACTTCCCTGCCCAACCAGCACCCCACTTGCTCTAGGTACAACTCCAAGCCCTTGGAGAACAGAAACACCACCCTACCCGCTGGTCAGCTGATTTCCTTGAAAGAAAATATGTTTTTTATTCTAGAAACATTTCAACAACAAATTCATTTTAAAAAAATCAATTCCATAACCCCACTTCCCTAATACAGACAACTTTTATTTTCATGTGACCCTCTTCTACCATCTCGGCTTGCAAAAGCCCCAAAGAAGCCTTTCTTAATGATTTGTTGTTGTTGTCATGACGCTAAAGTTTGGAGAAGAAAATCTCCCAAACTCAAAATGCTTCCCATTAGTTAGTGGTATGAAGTTTCTTCCATGACCAACAAGACAATGAGAGATAGTCTTGTGGTGCCTCAGTGTTTCAATTCCTCTCTCTCTTCACCCATGACAGCTGATCCTGCTCCTATCTGAGGACCTGTGAATGTGCCCCCCTCTGTCAGGAGCAGGAAACCCCCCCTCCAACAGTCACCAACTTATTCCTGTCTCTGCTCGAATTTTCTCCTCAGAGAGGCTTTCTTCGATTACCTTCTACCACCTTCCATTGATATGTGTCTGAATTTAATTATCTTCATAGGACCTATGACCCTCCACCCCAGTCCCTAGAGCATTAGTTGGTCCAAGGGAGGAGCTCGTCTGCCTGCTGAGTGATGTGTCTGCCTCTGTTTCAACTGAGGTGGTGGGGAACTGGCTGCCTCCAGTTAGGAGAGGGGATTTAGTGACCAGGGAAGTTGGACTTGATGTTTTAGAGTCCAGACTCTCTGCTCTACTTCCCTGATAACACATGATAAATCAACAAAAATATCCCAATTTTCCCAGAAGTCTCTATAAAATTAATTTCAAAAAATGGGGCTAGGGAGATCATTGTATTAGTAAAATGTTTGTCATGCATGCCCAGGATCCTGAGTTCAGATCCCCAACACTCACGTTAAAAGCTCTGTATGGCGGTGCATATCCATAATCCCCGGGCTAACAAGGCAGAGGTGGGTGGATCCCTGGAACTTGCCGGATATCCTGCCTTGCCAAATTGGTGAGGTCCAGGTACAATGAGAGACTGTCTCAAAATAAATGAATAAATAGAATAGAAGGACTGAGAAGATGACTGAGCGATTAAGGGTGCCTACTGCTCTTGCAGAGGTCTCAGACTTGGTTCCCAGAACTCATATCAAGTGGCTCACAGTTGCCTTCATGTCCAGGGAAGCTGATGTCCTCTTGTCTCTGAGGGCACGTGATACACGTGACACATAAAGTCACCTGAGCCTGCACACATAAATAAAGTGAACAAATAAATCGTAAAAAGATGAGATACAAAGTAACAAAAGGAGATACCAGATGTCAGTCTCTGCCCTCTACATGCGCATGTACGTATGTGCTTATGTCCCTATGCACAAACACATATGTCATATGCAGAAACACACACACACACACACACACGTGCGCGCGAACACACACATTCAAAAATAACATTGTCAAACAAATAATTCATTGTAAGATAGTTTTCCAGCTAATATATCACTGAATCATAAGAGGGCAAGTCTTCTACTAGAAGATTAATTGAGCTGGGCAGTGGTGGTGCAAACATTTAATCCCAGCACTCCGGAGGCAGAGGCAGGCAGATCTTTGTGAGTTCCAGGGCAGCCTGGTCTACAGAGCTAGTTGCAGGACAGGGTCCAAAGTGACACAGAGAAACCCTGTCTCAGAAAACAAACAAACAAACCAAAACAACAACAACAAACATTAATGGGAGGATATGGTTTTGTATGTGATACTGTTTGAAGAGGGTTTGTCCATTGAAATTCACGCTGGCGTTTGATCTTCATTGTGAAGCTTAAGCTGATGTTTAGAGAGGGAGTCCTGGGAGATGAGTTCGGTTTGGATAAGGCAAGTTGGATAGACCTCCTGAGATTGAATCCCCAGTGGTTTTATAAGAAGCCGGGGGTGGGGGTGGGGCTGCCTGCTGCCTCAAGATGCCCTGTGCCACCTTGGGACTCTGCCAGAAAGAAGACCATTAACAAATATGGCTTCTCTGACTTTTACCTTTAGAACTCTGAAAGGAAAGAAACCTCCATTCTTTACAAAGTAGCGTTCTTCAGCTATTTTACCATAGTAAGGAAAGCGCTGAGGGAGACAGAGAGGCACCCACAGCAGGCTTGTTCTGATAGACTCAGGAGCGCTTCCTAGCTGCCCTGCCTTCCTCCTCTCTTCCCCTCCCTTCCACCCAGGCAACCGATCTCTGGTCCTCTGCTTAGATTCCTCTGAGAAGGCCAGCTTCTTAAACTACCTTTAGGATAGAATTCTGAAAGCAGGTGTCCAGATCACCTGCTCCCAGCTCACACTGGGCTTCATTTAAATACTTTATTTTTTTTTTTTTTTTGTAAGGCCTTGGAGTTTCTGGGGTGGGGCAAGGAGTGAAGAGCCTCAGAGCCAGGAGAGAACCTCTGCCTCCAGTTCGTCTGTGTACTGATGTTGGAGGGCGCCTCTTCTTCCCCCACTCTCTGTTCTGACCCAGCTCACGCCCCAGGAGAGTAGTCACCTGTCCTTCAACAGTGTTTCCTTTTCCGGTCGCAAACACTATTCCTAGAAATCCCACTGGTACTCTAGTTGTCTGAGAACTCCCTCGTTCCCCCCACCCCTCCACCCCCACCCCCGCCAAGATTTTATGATCTTTGACTTTTTTTTTTCTTTCTTTCTCTCTCTCTCTCTTGCTGGAGGATGGGTGGAAGGTAGGGCTTCCGTCATTATAAGGAACTGAGCAGGCTGGCACCCGCCACAGGAAGCACAATTAAGAATGTTCACAGCAGGAAGGCTGCTCTCCGGGAAGCACTGAGAGCTGTCAGGACAAGTGACCTTTCTAATCACGCCTGACATTTCACAGTCTTGAAGGCGGAAGAGCTGCCCTTATTCTGGAGGCGAGATGTTACTCTGTGTCACCCCAGACACCAGCCGTCTGAGGCTGCGGTGACTTGACCTCCAGCCGTGCAATGAATCAGAGCATGCAAAGGGTTTTGTTTCCCCGGGGAAAGAGAATACACTGAGCCAGAGACCGAGGTGGATGGCAACCGCATCTAAACCTGGGACAGAGAGGTGCTGGGGAAGAATATCACCTCCCCTGAGTAACAGTCTGCTCCCAAGGGCTCAGGTGGCAGGGCTGATCAAACAACGTCCCTGGGGGAGGAAACCAAAGAGGATTACCTCCCAGCCCCTTCCCACCCCCAAAGTACGGGCTGCCGTGACTCACATTTGACCCATCTCCATATAAAAACAGCTTTGATTTAAATACACACACACACAAGATAATACATATATTATTCTAGAAAAGACCACAGAACATATATAAAAGATAAGAAAAGTAAAATTACATTTAATTGTATCGATCAGAGAACTGCTGTTAATATTTCAAGGACAGCTGTTGAGAGTGTTGACTCAAGACTGCAATCCCCAAAGTGGGGAGGCTGAGGTAGGTCTTGGGTTCAAGGCCAGCCTGGACTTGTGAGTAACATTTTGTCACAAACAAAAAGAAGGAAAAGAATGTTTTGAGGACATCACATACACAAATTTTTTGAAGATTTTTTTTATGTTCATTAATGTTTTGCCTGCAGGTATGTAAGAGTCCTACATATATGCCTGGTGCTCACAGAGGTCAGAAGAGGGTGTTAGATCCCCTGGAACTGGAGTTACAGATGGTTGTGATCTGCTATGTGTGCGGTAAACCAAGTCTGATTCTCTGCAAGAGCAGCCAGTGCTCTTAAGAACTGAGCCGTCTCTCCATCCCCTTATATACAAAATTTTAAAACATAATTGAATGTTATCATAAATGCTATTTTGAAAGGCACAGTTTTTTTAAAAAAGAAGTCTAAATTTATTTTTTTTTGGTTTTTTTTTTATTTATTAAAGATTTCTGCCTCCTCCCCTCACCGCCTCCCATTTCCCACCCCTCCCCCGATCAAGTGCCCCTCCCTCATCAGTCCAAAGAGCAATCAGGGTTTCCTGTCCTGTGGGAAGTCCAAGGACCACCCACCTCCATCCAGGTCTAGTAAGGTGAGCATCCAAACTGCCTAGGCTCCCACAAAGCCAGTACATACAGTAGGATCAAAACCCATTGCCATTGTTCTTAAGTTCTCAGTAGTCCTCATTGTCTGCTATGTTCAGCGAGTCCGGTTTTATCCCAGGCTTTTTCAGACCCAGGCCAGCTGGCCTTGGTGAGTTCCCAATAGAACATCCCCATTGTCTCAGTGTGTGGGTGCACCCCTCGCGGTCCTGAGTTCCTTGCTCGGAAAGGCAGTTTTTAAACTTAGCATCCTGAGCATACTTCCATGTCAGCTAAATGCAAGCTGAACAAAGTCATTCTCAATGCTTTCCCTGTGATCCATTCTGGGAAAAGGTTTTCTGGGTTTTGTTGCTGTTGATGCTAACTCCCCACAGGGCTGCACTATTCCTAGAGAAACTGCAAAGTCAGGTTAACATATACAGTGAAGCTAGTTAGTCCCTAGGCCATCTCTCTGCTCCAAACAATCCAGTTAATATATTGTCTTCAGATACAGCTGGCATCAGCTTTCCAGTGGTTAACAGATAATTCACTCGGTCCTAGCCAAAAGGCCGAGAAGCGCTGACTCTGATTTTCAGCTGTGGTAGAATATTCTAGAGTGAATGTCCTCACAGTTAAATATTCCTATGGAACCGAGTACACTTTCTTATGCTATATTTCTAGAAGTGGACTTGCTGAGTTGAAGAATATGAATACTTACAAACGTTTTTCTGTCAGCCTTCTAGATAGTCAATGCCACCAAAAAGGGAGGGGCTCCTAGAGGTTGAGATTTATCTTTTCTTTAAATCTTTGACATTTTCAGGAGTAAAAGTGATATACCTCAATTGTCTGAGTGGGTCTTTTCTTTCTCCCTCCTTCCAACCCTTCCTCCCTCCCTCCCTCCCTCCTCCTCCCCCTCCTTAGTTCTTTCTTTGTATTTTCTGTGTATGGGCTGCTTTGTCTACATGTTTGTCTGTGCACCACACGGGAGCCTGGTGCTCATGGAGGCCAGAAGAGGGTATCAGATCTCCGGGAACTGAAGGTATAGATGGTCATTAGCTGCCATGTGGGTGTTGAGATTTGAATCTGGGTCCTCTATGAGAGAAGCAAGTGCTTTTAACCACTGATTCAACTCTCCAGCCTTTGAATGGGGGTATTCCTACGTGTCAAAATTTAAAAGATTTTGGGCTGGAGAGATGGCTCAGTGATTAAGAGCATTGCCTGCTCTTCCAAAGGTCCTGAGTTCAATTCCCGGCAACCACATGGTGGCTCACAACCATCTGTAATGAGGTCTGGTGCCCTCTTCTGGCCTGCAGACATACACACAGACAGAATATTGTATACATAATAAATAAATAAATAAATAATTTAAAAGATTTTTCTGTGTTTCTTGGCCATTTGAGTTGTTTGTGTTGTGAATTCCCCTGACTTTCAGTCTCCTTTTGGTAATGCCAAAAACTTTCCGAGATTCAGTTTAAAGTAGTTTCTGTATAGTAACGAGAACTATTTATTATCATTAAATTACATTTCCCCCCAATTTACCCTCGTCTTCATTTTCATGGAGGTTCTGCCATGAAGACATTAAAACCTTCTGATGCTGTCTGAATAGCATAGAGTTTTAGCTTTAACAAAAGATCATATTTGCGAAAGCCTTCTTTATCCTATGACCCTTTGTTTCTTTAGTTAGCCTTTGCTTCCCCAGCTAGACTGTGAACTCTGTAGAGGGCAGAAGGAAAAATTTACTGCATTTTCTTCTTGTGTTTCGTCATTCTCTCGATTCCCGGGCCCTTCTTGCCACTCTTTTCCTTCCTCTTTGTGTCATGATTAGAAGTATCTCTGCAGAGAACTCTTTCTGGTTACCCTCTCGGAAAGCTTCCGTCAAGCCAGTTCTTCTCTCTCCCCTCAATCTCATTTCCTCTATGACCTTTATTTTAAGAAGAAGCATAGTACAGCTCATCTATTCAATATTTGCTTCCCCAACTAGACTCTAAACTCCACGGAGGGCAGAAGTCATAGCTATTTTGCATTCTCGGCGCCTAAACTAACATCTGGCATGTGGCATAAACAACAAAAGGAATTTGTTAAAGGTCATTGAATGTTAAGTCCATCTAAAATTTATTTTGGTATAAGGTATGCACTAAAGATTTGGTTTAAATTTTTCCAGATGGCGTCTTGTGATTACAGGGCACAGCAACAAAGCAGTCAAGCTCCCCGCTAACCCTCATTTCATTTGACACCAAGACATGAAATCCGGGATGTGGGAGGGGGGATGGAGTAACCTGCTCTCCTTCCTTCCAGCCCCGTCACCCTGTCTTTACAGTGACTCCCTCTCTCCATTATTGTCTTAGTCCAAGTGCTTCCCACAGTCTTATTTCAGGGCTTAGCCTGGAGAGATCCTTAATTAATGGTATTGACTTGCTGATTCAAGTCACCCCAATGGCAGGGAAATCTGCTATCCTTGATGTGATTCATTCCCAGCAGCCTCTGGAAACCCTGGGGAATCTCTTCTCCCTCCACAACACTGCAACACTAAGTTGTTCTGTGCCCTCCGGTTCTCTAGTTTTACTTCTAAAAGTAATGGACAGGACGACAGACCTGGGAAGCTGTCAGAGGTAAAAAGGGAAGATGGCGAGCCCCGCCCACATATGCCTTGAAAGTGTCAGGTGCCATATTCCACATCCTGTCACGTCCATTTACCCCTTCAAAGCTCTCCCGTGGGGCTGATGAGGGGGCTCGGTAGGTAAAGGTGTCTACTACCAAACCCAACATGCAAGAACTGTCTGCAGCAATGCTTCCGTGGGTTATTTAACAATAAAGAATATTCTCCCAAATCTAAAAAGGATCCAGATTTGACTCCAGTTTTTATTTTTCAATATCTCGTAAGAAAAAAAAAGATTATAAAGGAAATATTCAAGTATTAACCCTGCTTATCTCTAGGTGAGAGGGTTATAGGTAAAAAGTCACAGGTACAACTTTCACCAATCCGAAATCAAAGATTAGGAACTTTCCTTGTGTGGTCTATCATTGTCAACCAATATACAATGCAAGCCTTTCAATCCAACTAATCAGATTCATTGATGCCTTGGGTGGTCAGGAACAGCCATGATGTTTCTAGAGAACTAAAGACGCATAACGCATAAGGACGGTTTCTATGGTTTAGGGAGGGGGTGTCAGCCATCGGAAAGTTCTCAGCCCCCCTAGTGCTTTGGGCCCTGAACTTTATTTCACCCTGCAGGTAAAATGGAGTCTGAAGTCAAAATGGCAGTACTCGGGCTAAGGTGCTTTTGCCTGCTCCCTTCATTCCCCCTTTGTCTTGTGACTAATGAAATGAATCTTGCTCTAGGGGCTCAAACAGGGGGTTGCACTGTGCCCTTAGAAACACAAGCTTGACAGTGCCTAGGTGATCTCGAACAAAGCACGTAATGGCATTGACAGCACAGGCGACAAACAGCAGGACACGGAACGGGAGGATTAGGGGACCCATCAGACTTGTGAGGAGAGCCGTCAGTCAGGGGGATCTGTTGAACTTTGCTCTTGCCTCCTCCCTAGTGAGGAGATCTCCTTTCAGTTTTGTTAGGGTCTCTCTATAACACCTAAATAGATGCCATAAAAGCAACATATTCCTGCCAGGGCCACGCATACATCTCCCCCCTTAAAGAAAAGTAGGTCCAGTCCATGGTGGTTTCTCAGGACGATTACAGCCATGTGTCAACTTGGTTTTTCAGGAAAGAGAAGAATGGAGGTGGGAAATATCTCTGTCAGTTTGCTCACCCAGGAGTCCCCAGGGATGAAGGCTGCTTTACCAGGGGTTGCTAACTCTTCAGTGGCTGCTCCTATCAGAAGATGGCAAGCACAGGAGGCGTTCTCCTGGTGCATAGTAAGCCCGTGGTCCCCATATACATTCTCCTTGCCTCCCCTCCATAGTATATGATGATGACTTGCGGCACAATATGAACCAACACACCAAGCTCAGGCTTGTCATTTTCAGTGAAATGTCCTAGCGAGAGGCAGGGTGTCAAGCCAAAGGTTACAGGCAAGACAAGCTGACGTAGGGGCCGTCAAGGGGGTGTTTTGGTTTAGGGTAGCCCATTCCTAAACTGTAGGCTAAGAGTAGTTTGGGACCACCAGGAGTGGGTTACAACCAACAAACAGGAAAAAGGGACACAGATCATTCTTTCATCAGTCTTATCTTTAGAGGGTTCCGCTGGTCCTGTTAAACTGTCGTCTGTTTTCTTCCAGCATCTGTGATAAACCTTCTGTCAGAAACCGGTTTCGGGTGGGTATGACGGCAATGGGAGGAGTCAGGATCACAATGTGAGGGACCCAGAGTCTCCTTTTGATGATGTTTCACCCAGATCCTGTCTTCCGGTTGGTGGTCATGTGGTTTAACAAGCAGCAGATCACATAGGTGGGATGTGAAGCCATGGAAACACCCTGTTACGAGTTCTTCATGACACATGCATTGACTGGAGTAAGCAAAATTTGATACCTCAGGAATTAAATATGACCTAAGTTTTGGGGATATTGGAGGGGGCCCCTCAAACATTATTTCATGGGGGTTAGACACCCCCCCCCCCCATCTAAAGGGTGTTTCTGACCTGGAGGAGGGCAAAGGGAAGGACTGCTGTACAGTCATCACCGGTCTCTAGGTTAATTTAGCTAAGGTTTCTTTTGTTTCTCCCTGCCCTACATTTGCTGGGCTCTCCTAGAGCGCGTGACATATAAGCAACAGGTTCCCCCGAAGGGAATTTGCCTTTGACCTAGCACTTTCAGTCTGTTAAGGGGAGATGGAGGAGTGATACTTCCTCCGTAACTGCTTCCAGCTGAAATTGGGGTGTCGGCTGTCAGGGCCCAGGGAGGTCAAAAGGCTAGTTAACGGCACGGCACTGGGGCATTTATCAAAAGCATCCGGCTAGCGGATCCAGGTGAAGGGCAGGAAGCAGCCATGTGGGCTGGACTGGCTCACGTCAGCTTTCAACAGTCCAGAGCTCCGCAGTAGGGTCTGCTCCCTGGGTGGTCAAATCTGCTGAGGCAAACAGACTAAGGCCAGAAGTTAAAATTTAGAAGCTTAAAAGAAAACCGCATATGTTTTTTTTTAAAGAATTTTTGCTTACCTGGAGTTTGTTTAACCTGTGACGGGTGGATTCTAGCCTTATGACCTTTTAGACTCCCTGAAGCTTACATGAATTTTTAGTTCACCAAAGGCGATAAAAGTTCCAGGTGTACTAGCGTTTCCATTGTACTGAGATCCACACTGTAGAATTAAACAGTCAACAGGTGTCTATAAAACAGCCAGAACAGCTTTACACCTTGGAGACATAGCAAAAGTGACCGCTTTGGGTTGGCCTGATGAAATACACCAGGAAGTCTATATTTAGCAGACAACCAAAGGGAATTGAAGATCTTGAGCTAATGACTGGAATGAATGGTGAGCAGCCAGGGTTCTATCAGTTTATCCAAACTTCTTTCACTAAATGTCAGAACTCCGACCCTCTGGAACCTCAGTGGGGCAACATACCCTTTAGTGAAGTTTGCAAGTCCTATAGGTGTATAAGATTAATGTCTAAGACCAACTGCTCTGTCG